TCTTTCTTTCTTTCTTTCTTTCTTTCTTTCTTTCTTTCTTTCTTTCTTTCTTTCTTTCTTTCTTTTTTTCTAAGACCATTTTATGAAAAGCAATAAGATACAAAAAAAAGAAAGAAAATCCATTACCACCAAAGTTATATTGGTGCTTCATTCAGTGAGTAAGGGGTCTCTGCAGTAGGTTTTGTTCTGTGGGTGGAGATGGCCTACTCGTGGTTGGCGGAGATTTTCATGTGGGCGGAGACGTCCCAAGAGATGTGATTGGTCGGATTGACGGTGGGGTTTGAGGCTGGAGGCAGCGGGGAGTAGCTTGGTCGAGTCGGGCAGGAAGTAATTTTTTTTAAGATTAATTTTAGTCATAACTTGAGGAAGGAAAGTGCTAGCTGTACGACATTTGAACGTCGTACATGTGAAAGGATGTTTAACAACATTGCTTGGTTAAAACATCCCTAACCAGCCTGTAAAAAATATTGATTTTTAGCAATCTTTTTACAGGCTGGTTAGGGATGTTTTAACCAAGCCTATTGTTACACATCCTTTCACATGTACGACGTTCAAATTTCGTGCAGTTAGCACTTTCCCTCCTCAAGTTATGACTAAAATTAATCTAAAAAAAAACCATGTTACTTCCTGCCCGACTCGACCGAGCTACTCCCCGCTGCCTCCAGCCTCAAACCCCACCGTCAATGCGACCAATCGCATCTCTTGGGCCATCTCCGCCTACATCAAGACCTCAGCCAATCATGAGCAGGGACATCTCCGCCCACTTTAAGACCTCCGCCAATCACGAGCAGGGACGTCTCCGCCCACTTTAAGACCTCCGCCAATCACGAGCAGGGACGTCTCTGCCCACTTTAAGACCTCCGCCAATCACGAGCAGGGACGTCTCCGCCCACTTTAAGACCTCCGCCAATCACGAGCAGGGACGTCTCCGACCATATTAAGACCTCGGCCAATGACGATTTGGGACACCTCCGCCCACAGGACAACATGTTCTGCAGAGACCCCTACTTGCATTCAACCAAAGACCTGCCTCGTGTAACATTGCAGTTACATTCCTACAGGTTCCAACTGTCCAAAAGCTGGAAATGCCCTCAGGAAAGAATGCTCTCAGTTTCCAAACGTATCGTCAGACGATTTAAGTGAAAATCTTAGTTTTTATAGCTTAAGACAACCCATAATGTCTTGTATCCACTGTAGCTGAGAGGGAGGCGAGGCATCTTTCCATTTTAATAGAACTGCACAATGAGACAAAAGCAATGCAAACACTTCAGCAGTGGATGAAAAAGACTTATCTTCTAAAACCTCAAAAAGGGCTGCCAATGGGCTTGGTTCTAATTTGACATCAAACACAYAAGATAGWATGCCAGTAATTACTCATCTACTCACTGGGGTTTTGTGAGCAGCGAAGGGAATAAAAACCTCATCACTTCACCCTTCCAGGTGGCGCTGTGTGCAGGGTATGTGGCGGTGCGGACAGAGCTGGAAGTCCTGGTGCTGAAACTGGAAGCAACATCTGAGCCAACGACCGTAGAAGAATCCTCTGAAACATTGAGGAATGGTAAAAGATACACAGCACTGCTGCTGGGGGTTGCAGGCTTTATACACAAGCTGTACAGGAGCATACATATAATCCAGATTCATTTGTACAGATTATCTTGAAGACCAGAGTGAATTTCTGCTCATTCCGAGACACCAGGAGCTTCTGGGTGATCGAGCTAAAGACTGCGACATCCCCGTCAGCATGGAAGGAACTGGACTGGAGGACAGGAGACACTACACACTGTCCTATGTCCTGTTCAGGTGTGTGAGGCTTTTTTTAATTTCCATCCTTTCAATGAGAATATTTSAGCRTTGTGATGTGATGGTTAAAGATGTCACCTTCCTCCTGCAGGCGGTTTTCTCCAGAGTTCTTTCAAGGCTGCAGCGTGGAGGAGATGCARCTGCACTCACTGCTGCTTTACCCACAATTCACCAGTAAGTGAAACATGTGAAATTAGTGTTTAGAATGCTGGTAAGACATGGTAAAAATTCCAAAATAGATGAGGTCAGGTTCAGTTGGAATTTGCTACAAAACTTGAACTAAAATATGTCTAAGTGGAGATTTTCCACTTTTAGAGCATCCAAWGTGAGTTTCTTTCTCTCCAGGCAGCCAGTCGGCGTCTGTGGACGAACCTGGGTGTGTGTTCTGTTTCTTCTCGCTCCCCACCGCCGGGTACCTGTACAGTCTGAGAGGTGGGGTGGAGCTGCTCTCTGCCTATCAGTATCCAGACAAAGTGCTGGAGGCGGTTCTAACAGACCATCTGTTGCACGTCATAACCAAGTACGTCTCCTCAAAGAACATGAAGATCATCTTACCATGCCATACCTTAGCATAGCATAGCATACCATACCATACCATAGCATACCATACATAGCATATCATACCATTGTATACCATACCATACCATAGCATACCATACATAGCATATCATACCATTGTATACCATACCATACCATAGCATACCATACCATACCATACCTTACCATACCATAGCATAGCATACCATACCTTACCATAGCATAGCATACCATAGCATACCATAGCATAGCATAGCATAGCATATCATACCATATCACACCATAGCATTCCATGGCATACCATACCATAGCATAGCATATCATACCATAGCATACCATGGCATAGCGTAACATAGCATACAATACCATACCATAGCATACCATATCATACCATAGCATACCATGGCATAGCATACCATAGCAAAGCATACCATATCATACCATAGCATAGCATATAATACCATAGCATAGCATACCATACCATAGCATACCATGGCATAGCATACCATATCATAGCATACCATATCATACCATAGCATACCATATCATAGCATAGCATACCATGGCATACCATGCATACCATAGCTTAGCATAGCATAGTAGCATACCATAGCATGGCATAGCATACCATATCATAGCATACCATATCATACCATAGCATACCATATCATAGCATAGCATACCATGGCATACCATGCATACCATAGCTTAGCGTAGCATAGTAGCATACCATAGCATGGCATAGCATGGCATGGCATACCATACTATAGCATAGCATGGCATAGCACACCATACCATAGCATGGTATAGCATACCATAGCATAGCATGGTATAGCATACCATAGCATAGCATGGTATAGCATACCATAGCATAGCATGGTATAGCATAATAGCATACCATACCATATCATACCATATTATTTTTCTGTGCAACGTTTCACAAATTCCCATTAGTTTCCTCTCCGTCTGACTGAGTTTCCTCAGTAGAAAAAGAGAGCTGATCTCTCTGTGTTGGGAGTGAGGTGCTGCCTCAGTATGTCAGGGTTTTCTTCACGAGTGAGTGAAGAATGATGGTGCGTTCCAGTAGCACTGGGAAGTGTAAATTTCCTTGCACCCGTCTGTAAATTTAAACTGGAACACCCCCTCCAGTGGTAAAATACCATTCGTATACTGGGAGCGACTGCGACTACCCCCAGTTTCAATTTCAAGATGGCGGCCACTCACAGCTTTAGAAATTTAATTCTGTAAATTTTACTGTTAATTATCTTTCTTAATTTTTTGTGCTTCTGTGTATACTATACATACTAATATCAATGTTTATTTGCATAACGTACGTAGTAGAGCTCTCTTTTTGTCATTGTTTATATTGTAGCAGTGTTGTAGCTAGGCTAGTGGCAGCAAAACAATCGCCTGTCGGCTAACTGGAATGTAGTTTCATACGGTTTTTTCGTGAAATAACATCACTACTATTTACCAGTTCCTGGAATCCGATGTACTGTAAATGGAATGCAACATAAGACATGAGATTGACAGAAGAAAGCTCTCAGCTGTGGCTTCTCAAGCTGCTGCTTCCCGAAACTCTGGAACAAGTGGAAGATAATGAATGGTTGGATTGATGGAGATTCCTAAAAWGTGTGTTTTTGTTTTTTATTGCTAGGAATGCATTACAGTCTTTCACAGTGCGATGTGCAGCTGTAGCAGCCAGGATTGAAGACCCCTACATTGACACCACAATGAAGGTATAAATCACATTTGTTACCAAAAATTTCAGCCTTAAAGGCAGGGTGTTATGCAAAATCTTGAATCTCCTGTGGTAGCCATGTGGAGCTGCCTAAATGCTTGCTGGTACAAAGCTCCGCCTATTTAAACAAAGCTCCTCCCTGGAGCTCAGTCTGCAGCCGAGCTCCCACCCCACAGAGCACCCCTCCCCTCGAAGTATTGTTTGAAAATGTGCTGAAGTGGGAGTGTCAGAAATGGTAGGAGGTTCTTAAAGAGGCAGAGGCCAATTTCAAGGCGTTTAGATAGACTGTGATGCAAAGTCAAAATTATTTTTGATATATACAGCTATTTTATAACAATTGAGGGTAACATAGGTATTTGATTGTGGTATCAAATTGAACTTTGTGACTGGAAAATACATAATTACCCCCCCCCCCCTTTAAAAAAAAGCCTTATTTTGTTATTATTCTTTGTGCCGTAGCTTTCATTATTTGCACATTTGTTCTGATTTCTGTAGTATTTTAACATTATCACAYTGTTTATAGTGTGGCATGCACTTAGCTGTGTTTGACATCCACCTGTGTGTTTGAAGGCCTGCCCCCCCTGCAGTCTGGAGGTGTGTGCGCTCAGAATGCAGTTATTTATTGGTCTGAGGTCGGTGTGTGTCCACGGCCGCCGTGTCATCCTTCTGTCCGCCGCCGATACCGAGACTCCCGAGGAAACTGAACGCGTCCCTCAGCGCAGGTGCCTGTAAGTCGCACACACGTTCAAACTATGATTCATTAAGATTGTATGTATTTTAAAAAAGGAAAACAAAAATAAAACTTTCCCAGATCAATCATCAGGTAACTAACGGTGCCAGAATACTCCAGACTGTGTGTGTGTGTTGTCGTTGTTTTAGCGAGTTAAAAGAACACAACATGCTGACTGGTATTTTCCTTGCGGTGGGAATCGATCCCGCGACCTCACCCGCTCTGGAGAGCCTTCTGTCACGCCCCTTCCTGTAAGACCTCCCCCTCTCCCCAAACAAAAGATTTTGTGGTCGGTTTCAGGTCAAGCTGCGTTGCTAACAAAGTACTAAATGGAGCAATTATTTCAAATGTGAGCTGTGCAAATGTGTAAGTTAAATGGATCCATGATTAGTTGTAACATTAGACTTTATTTGATAAGCATTTATTTTAATTGTAAAATAAAAACTGTAAAAATACTGTAGGCTGTTAAGTTTTTATAATTTTTAAACAAAAAATTAAAAAATATATTACA